GTGAATATCCTTGATACTTCTTCTGTCACTTGATATCGGCCTCGATATTAGTGGTTCGCTTGCCGCCACCCAGGCGCTCCATCTAGCCTGGTGAGAGGAAATACCAGAAAAGTATAGGCTAGCCTCGGATATACTTAAAACAGAATGTGCCGGCGAATACGCGATGGCACTGCGCTAAATAGATCGCGTGATGCTCTCAGCAGTCGGAATGTAGCCGACTGTGCGCTTGGAGCACCCTGCTTCCCGCCCCCCCCCCTGGGGGCAGGTGGGATAGAAGTATCACGGCAGGCAATCGTTACGAGATGCTGCAGTCGCGATGCGATGCACAGATGGTGCGTTCTGCAGCGCGATGGCGTGCTGCGACTCTCCACTGCTTATCGTCCTAGGCCGGCGCCGGAGCGTGCCGCGCAGCTCCGCAGCGACCGCACCGCACGTGGAGGTAACTGATAATTCCGGGGCCGTCGCGATCTATCGCGAACTGTTGGGCATTAATTGGTCTGCGTTGTCGGGCCGGAACTTGGAGAAGAGGTGTTGCGCGCGACCGCTGATGACGTGATTCGCACCGCCGGTCCCTCACACGCGGGGTCCAAGGACCACCGCTCGAGCTATAAAGCCAAACCTCGGCGCGAAGTGCATGTCTAAACTATTCTCAGAAAGTATCGTGAAGAATATAGCGACTGAGGTTACGCCATGCCCGGAAGAATTATCGAGAGCTACAAGCAGGTCCCAGAGACCCAGGAGGACTGTGAGCATCCCAGGCCATCCTGAGATGAACTTCTCGATGCTAAATCTTGCAAGTGGACTGGGCCGACCTCATCACGCTCGACCTTAGCCGCTATTATCAGCCTGGGGGGAAGGAGGAGCTTGTCAAGCAGCTCGACCATGCCGTGCGCAACGTCGGTAGGGACACCCCGGGCATCCCACAGGCCATGTACCATGCCTGACACGCGTACTACCAGGCTTCTTCTATGTCAAGAACTTCAACATTGGCCAAGAGGAGGTGGATGAACAGTTCGCGCTGGGACGGGAGTTCTACTCGCTTCCGCTGGAGGAGAAGCTCAAGTTTAGCAACCAAGCAGATCTCGAACGTGGCGAGTATAACGGGTACCGACCCGCTGGCAACAGAGAGTATGTATGCGTGCCCTAAAGTCGGCAATCTGGGGAGGCTCGGGGCTGATCAGCCACTTCATCTAGCCTAGGCAACGGCCTCAAGGACAACATCCAGGTGTACAACATTCCAAAGTTTGATGGGTTCCACGAGCGAAAGCAGCCCGACGTGCTTAAGGACAACATCCAGAAGATCGAGTCCTTCAGCCGTGTAAGTCGTCCATTGTGCCCCAATGACAAATAAAGTACCTCACTGAACCGAATATAGAAATGCCACAACGAGGTCGTCTTGCCTCTTCTCCGCCTCTTCGCCATCCTCCTCGAGCTGCCTGATGAGGACCAGCTTGTCAACGACCACGAGTATGACGTTAAGGGTGAGGATCACCTCCGTTATATGTACTACGCGGCGCGTAATCCCGAGGAGAACAAGAAGGTCGGGCAGCTGTACGTGCCAGGACATACCGACCTCGGCACCGTGACGCTCCTGTTCCGCCAGCCGGTTGCCGCGCTCCAGATTCTCAATTCGGAGGGCAACTGGAAGTGGGTACAGCCACAGGACGGCACCATCACCATCAATACCTGCGACGCGCTCACTGCGCTCACGGGCGGCCTGATCAAGTCTAGCATCCATCGCGTACACGCACCTCCGCAGGACCAAGCGCACATCGATCGCCTCGGGGTGCTCTACTTTGCCCGGTGAGCTCTCGTCCTCCTTCTCACGCTTCTCACCCCATTCCTCTCGCATATAGGGTACTCGAGGGGAGCGCTGGCCAAGCTAACGCATAAATGTGCAGTCCGAACAACCATGTAGTCTTGGATCCCATAACCAACAGCCCGCTTCTCAACCGGCTCGGGCTCACGTCCAATGTCTTCACCGAGCTCGGCCAGCACCTGACCACAGAGCAGTGGGTCAAGGTGCGACAAACGCAGCAGCAGAGGAGGAACAAACCGGCCAAGATCTCGGAAGATGGGAAATTCGAGTACGAAAAGAAGGACTTGGAGATCCTCCCAGGGCTGCACGCTAAGATCCACAACTAAAAGACGCTGTTATTTGCCGTGCAGGAAGGTATGGCATCGCGTGGGCGGCTCGCATTGCCCCACACGAGCAAGCAAGCTCTGTTGCTCTTATCTGTATATACGACAATCTATTCGCAACTTGTTGTCTCTACAGTTGAATGAAAGGACGAGCCAAAGAAGCGCACGAGGAATGGCGATTGGACGACACGAGTTCGTCAGGCGAGGGCATCATTGTAGGCCGTTGAGGTTCGGTGGAGGGCTCTTTCGTGGACTTTGCACTCGTGACCTGGGCCAATGACCGGAGCACGAGGTTTGGCGAAGTGCGGGGGGCAATGTTTTACTCGGCAGGGCGGCAGTTGTCCCAGAGAACTACGAGCGCTGCGGGCCGGCCGTTCTGCTTCTTCCGGTCACCATCGCCGGGCTGAGCACCCGCGCAGAGTCTAGGCCACACAGACTGGCGCCGGGGCGCTAGGCCTCTCCCCCCGGTTGGCGTCGGTGATTGTCCAGGTTCCTGACCGAAGAGCTCCTGCCCCACCTCACGACGCTGTACTGTACCTCCTTAGCATTGGCTCCCCAATGGCTCCCCGATGCAATACCTGGAGGTATTAAGCATTTCCGGGAAGCACGATGGGCAGCGGGTGGCCCAGAATGCGTTGGTGAGGGCTGCGTAGACACAACGCTGCATGCTAATTAGCCAAGCGACTTGCTGAGGTTAAGACGAATTGAGGAGATGGATTTGAGGAGGGGTTGCCAAAGGCCGCGACTCTGCGACTTGGTGGGGTCTTGCCCTGGGATACCTCCCTAACGTGCTGTACCTAACCTTACCAGCGCCCTGCCGAGAGACCCGGAGGCCCGCCACTGCACGGGAGGCTGTGCCAAGCAGATGATTAAGACACACTGCTAATTACTCCGTAAAGGCAAGGTACTTAGTTAATGCACCGCGCCTTGCCTACGTTGGTTGGGCCATCTCAGGTGGCCCGTGGGTCCCTTGGCTATCGAAGAGAAGCTAGCAAGGGTGAAATGAGCGGCATTGCCTCCTCCCAGTGCCTCTCCTGAAACCTCGCATTGGACTTCAACAGTGCCAAGTACGGCAGACTCAGGGGCGAAAACTGCGACACCTCTGAAGTAGATGCGGCCTTGCCTCATGCCATTCTTCAGAGCAGTGCAAGTAAACCGACTACCTTGGAGTAGACGTCTGCGGAGGCTTGGCATTTGATTGCGACGCCCAGCAATTGTTGGTAGCTGAATCGGAAGTGGAGTTGACGCTTCTCCAAGGAATGAGGTGGGGTTGTGCTCACGTCCCAGTAACAAGAAAACAAAGTTAAACCCACAGTCTACTTGTATCTTCTTTTTCGCATGAGCCGCAAAAAACTGTGCAGCTGGATGGTACACGAAAACTGCAATTCACCTAAGCATGCTGTGGCGAAAATCGAAGACAAAATCTAACGTGCAGCTAGGGCCAACAGAAATCTTGATAGTTGAGGCAGAAGGTAGGAGTGTGGATAGATGTTGCCTTTGGGCGCAATCGCCACCAATAAGAAGAAGGGGTAGTGGAAGGGTGTCAAGAATATAGCTCGAGAGTTGGTTATGAAGGTGCTTGACTTCAGGTCTCCATTGCAATGTCGAACATCGACTCCGACTTTTGCGCCAAAGTTCGGCACGCCAGTGCCAGTCAAACATGTACGTGAAACTGTCACTGACACCCTTCTTAGCTAGGAGCTGGATAGTCCTATTCTGGAGATCGAAGAATGGGAAAGACCCAACTTCAGCTTGCTTTCGCGTTCTGATGTGTAATATAATCCCAAAATTAGCAGTCTCGGGTCCGGCAGGTTCGCTTAGCAGATTTCTCGGCTCGCCAGATTCCACAACTTCCTCTTCGTAGAATTCGCGTAGCTTCTGTGCCATGAGGTTTCCAAAGCTTGCCCCTTCTCGAGCCGAGCTGCAAGGTCGTTTGAGAAAAGCAAGCAGCTGACACACTTCATTTTTGCTCAAGCATTTCTCGGCTTCTTTAGAGAAGAGATAGGCGATCGTCTGGCCGTCAACAGGGGTTTGGGTTCTGTTGGAAGTGACAGCTTCATGAGAAACCGACTCGGAGCTGGGAATATACCCGGGATGTGGTGGGAGCTCGGCAACGTGACGTCGGCGATAATCCAGAAGCGCCGAGAATATGTCCATGGTGGCAAGGCTTGATGCTGTGTTGCAAAGTGTGACTTCATAGCCCAGGTGTTAATTAACACTTTGTAGGGCAAGGAATACACAAAGGGGATAGATAGGTGTTTGGATGAAGAATCGAGGAAAGCAAAGAGGGGTTGTCCAACTTTTTCAACTGGAGTGAATCTCAAATTCAACAAAGGGTCTCTCACCTAGGCAGCAGAATGGGAGTAATAAAATAGTAGCAGAGGAACAGTAGGAAGTGGGTCTCAATAGGTGAGATTGTCACCAAAGCTTCACCCTCAGTTCACTTTTACTCCACCACTCCAGCGTAGGTCACCCACGAGGGGCCTCCCACCAACGTCGCAAGCTAGTAGCTGCGACGGAGAAGCAACGGCACATAAGCATACATATATTGGGAGTAGCAATTGAGGAGCTATGCAGGATAAGACAGAACGATGAGGTGAGGGATATGGGGGAAAACCTGTGGGCATGGGGGGGGGCACAGAAGGCCAGGCGAAGGGGGGCGTCAAAAGCCAACAGCCTACTTGCGATGGAGTTGGGACTGTGGAGGGCGAGCGTGTGTAGGTAGTTTGACGCCTCCCGCGGGTGAGATTTGGGCCAGGATTTGTGTACACACGTGACAGGTCACGGGATTAAGATGCTGGTCCACCGATTATATGATGTTGGTATATATTATGATGTAAAAGTTATCTGTTAACGTAGCGGGTTTAGCTCAGTTGGGAGAGCGTCAGACGTAGGCGTCCCAGTACTAAATGTTGACTCCTCGTACTAATACGAATTATAGTGAAGTAAACTTCAAGTTCCATATCTGAAGGTCATGTGTTCGATCCACATAAACCGCAATTTTTTTTCTTTCTTTTTTTCTTCTTTTTCTTCTTTAAAATAAGATCCTTAAGAATAAACTTACAGGCGTCGCAAGGGCGTTATTTTCCTGCGGAGCTTATAGGCATAGGTCTAACCAAAGGCACGATAAAGAAGATATAATCACTGTTTATACGAAACCAAATAAGCTAGTGTGGCCAGCGTGGTCAGCCAGCGAGGAATCTAGCCAAGCTAGGGTAGCGATCTGGTGACTGCGGCCGGCCCTCCGCAGGCTCCGGGGCCCTCGTGCGTCACATCTAGCCAGGGAACGTTCGGCCTTGCCTACCGGCTTTGGCCCAAGCCAACGTGGTTGGTATGGTCCAGCGATCCAGTGTGGCCAGTATGGCCAGTATAGCCAGCGATCTAGCCAGCGATCTAGCTGGCTACACTCGTGACCAGCACTCCAGTGATCCAGCGAGGGCCGTAAAAGGCAAGCTTGGCCATGTGAAAGCAGCTGGTGATCTGCCGAGGGTCATACAAAGCCAGACGAGCCAGTATGCCAGCGATCCAGCCAGCGATCTAGCCAGCTAGCGAGTAAGGAAGGAAGAGGGAAAAAGGCGAGCTCCTATAAGGAGGAAAAGAAAAGCTCTCGTAGCAAGATTAGCCAGCTGCTAGTGGGCCAGATCCACTTACACCAGCCGTAGCGAGGCGCCAGCCACTCTCCGTTGAGTGCAGCGCAGGGGTGGTTTTTTGTGGAAAAGGGCGCTCGTGAGCTCGCCCCCAGTGAGACCGTTATCAATTTCTTATTAATTAATGTCTAATTTATTACTAAATTTTTGGAGACCCAAACCCCTAGAAACCGACTCTCGGTTGAATAATGCAGTATTTGTTCCGGGGTTTCAATGACAGCGGGTTTAGCTCAGTTGGGAGAGCGTCAGACGTACGTTTCCCAACCTCAAATGCTACGCATTCCTGCTAACCCAATGCGCAGTGAAGCCAACTTCAATTCGTCTATCTGAAGGTCATGTGTTCGATCCACATAAACCGCAATTTTTTTTCTTTTTCTTTGAAATAAGATCTTTAATAATAAATATTATACTATACAGTATTGTTCTCCTTTTTTTAAGCAGTCTGGTCGGTCCTGGATATTTCGAGACTGAGGCTCAGTCGGCTGAGTACTATCCGCCACTGGACCTGCCCCAAGTGCACTGGTGCCGAACATTGCGACGTTGTTAAGGCAGTAAGTAACAGCAGCCATTATTGAGACAGTCCCGGATCCCAGGTTCCCCACAACACTGTTTGGAGCTGTGCCGCCTGTTGCGGCATGCACGCTGAAAGTACTGTACGTGTATAGTGAATGTTATGAAGTACATATATGCCGCGCTAAAAAAATGTACTTGACGGGTGTTTTGGGTTCCAAAAATGGTGGGTCTAGGTGTAATTACCTACCGACAAGCTAATAATTAGTATTCGGAGCAACTTCTGGACAAGAACCCAAAGACCACCCTGCGGATTTGGCAGTCCAATCCAGTTGGACCTGGGCAGCCGTTAAATTGCTGCACTATTCCACGCGTCCAAACGGTCCGTCTGAGCGAGTGACATGTGCTCAATGCAACCTTTGGGTTATCGATGACGCGCAATCCATCTTATGCCCAATGGGGTTGGGATGGCAGGTCGTGCAGGTGCAGGCTTGGGTGATGGAAAGCCTTGGGATGTCTCCGATCTTTTTTAGCCTTGATGGGAGCCAAGCAAAGCGCAACAGCTCAATCTCCACCAAGCGTCTTCTGCTCCCCAGATTCCTACACTCTATACCCGTGCGTTCGATGGACCAAAGGACATTTCGTAGGCAAGCGGTGCGCTACCTTGGATGTAGAGCCATGATCGGCACGGACAATTGGTTCGATGACATGTGCAGCGCTACGGTGCCTACCCGAAATACCCAGCTAGTTACAGTCGGTGCTGTCGAACTTCCTGAACCCTCGTGCCGGCTCCCTGCGGGCAAAGTCAGAAGTCAATCCTCCGACCCGGTATTCGATCGGGATAGCGCCCCGGATTTGGGCCAAAGCGTGTTTTCCTTGCGACGACACGCATAGCTGCAGTGCGCCGTGAAGCTCTCCGGGAAAGAAGGATACAGCTCGAAAGACCTATCCCAGGGCCGCCTTGGCGCAGGTGACGAATGCCCACGCACGGTCCCCGCTCGATGCACCCTTTTAAGGTCGCATTGGACACGCATTGGCGGTGTTCGCAGGGGGCCCATGGCTCCCCCGCACCTGCATGTGCCTGCCGCCCTGCGGGCTGCGGGCTCCACGCGACCACTGCCGGGCGACAGGGCCCGATGAGATCTGAGCTCCGTGGATGGGTGGGCTCGCCTACGGAGCTTCCCCCTTCGAGTCGCATGAGAACGTGGCAGGGGCGCCGGGGTCGGATGGCCTCATGAATCGCAGCCCTCTCTGGCTCATTGTCCTGCCACGAGACCCGGGGATCGCGATAAAGAGGCCGCAATCCGCTCGCCTTCTCTCCTCAACGGCGATCAGTTCGGTCCCCTCCAGCCCCAAGCTCCAACGCACCGCCCCCGCACCGTCGTCACCATGGCCGTTCTCTCCCGCATGCTCAAGGCGTCCGTCGCCCTCTCTGCCCTCGTCAGTGCCTCCCCCGTCGAGCGCAACGGCGTCGAGCCCAGGGCTGTCATCGACCACGACGCCGTCGTCGGGTTCCCCGAGACCGTTCCCTCCGGCACCGTCGGCGACGTCTACGAGGCCTATCAGCCCTTCCTCAAGGTCGTCAACGGCTGCGTGCCCTTCCCCGCCGTCGACGCCAGCGGTAACACCAGGTACGCGTCGTCCCTGGCCTTCTCGGCCTCCTGGCGCATTCGTCGGTCGTCGTGCTAATTGAACTCTGTGCAGCGGCGGCCTCAGCCCAACCGGCAGCAGCAACGGCGGCTGCTCGAGCAGCACCGGCCAGATTTACGTGCGCGGAACTGCCTACAATGGCCGATATGCGGTGATGTACTCCTGGTAAGCGATTGGCAGCCCCGGCATTTAAGCCTCGCTCAGGGATTCAGACTAAATAGCTCCCAGGTACTTCCCGAAGGATGAGCCCTCAGACGGGTAAGTTATTCCTCGTTCTTCATCTCCCCTTTTCCTGTGGGAGCAGCAAGATCTCTGCCGGAGCTTTGTATATGGGCTCTGCTCCCGAGGACGCCCTTGACGGTAGGAGCTGGAGCTAACGAAGGATCTGCTAGGCTCGGCCACCGTCACGATTGGGAGGGAGTCATCGTCTGGCTCTCGTCGGGTTCATCGACTGCTGCTTCGAACATCCTTGCCGTTTGCCCGTCCGCCCACGGAGGCTGGGACTGCTCGACTGACGGTTACTCGCTGTCTGGTACCGGGCCGCTGATCAAGTACGAGAGCATCTGGCCTGTCGACCACTCGTGCGGCCTCACCACCACTGTCGGTGGCCAGCAGCCCATGATTGCCTGGGAGAGCCTTCCCACCGTGGCCCAGACCGCCTTGGCGACCACCGACTTCGGCGCCGCCAACGTGCCCTTCATCGACTCGGCGTTTACCGGAAACCTGGACAAGGCCACATTCTAAGCGACCTATTCTTAGGAGGGCGGAATGCATGCGCTGGGGGGGCTCAAGGCCGCCACCTCGAGGTCGAGTCGTGTGCTATAATGAAAAGGGGGAGAGGGCACGCGAGCATTGTCTCATCGGGACATGGGGGCTTGGAGGCGGAGCCGTGCGGCGGACCCGCCGCATTGAAGGCTGAGCAGGGCGCATGCCTACCCACAGGAGGGAGCTCCCGCATTATACGTACATACGATACCATATTGTATATTCTATAGTCTATGTTCATAATCAATGCCGGCCTCGGTCCAACTTATTTATTTTTACTTGACTTGATGGCTGCCGTTGAATGGTCCACCGGTTCAATAAACACACTGTGCGGCTCTAGAGTGGGGCTTGGCCCGCAGGTTGTGCGGCTCCTGCAATGCACCCAGGGGTAACAATACGCCTCACAGGTGTTTATCTGTGGTCTATTCCAGCGTGCAAGAGTCAAGATAGGAGATTGAATGACCACGCGGCACCTGAAAACGGGTTTCCAATAGCGAAGCCCTACGCCCGTG